GTTTCAGGTTAAGAACGGACCTCCGGAATGAATTAAATACTTAACCCGAGGTACCACTGTACACATTTGAGTTTTTGCAACCATTTCCTCTTTGGTCTCCACCTCAAGCAATCGCAAAATATGTACTATAGATCAACTTCCCTACCCTGGGGCCCTTCAGATGTTTTGGACTACAACTCCCATCATCCCTGACCCTTGGCCATGTTGGCTAGGAGTGATGGCAGCTGTAGTCCAAAACAAGGCTGCTGCAGATGTTGCAGGATCTCATTCAACAAATGAGCTGATAGGGCTTTTGAGTGTTGACTGGTGTCTCTGTGTGACATATAAACAGTATGTGCTTTCACAAGAGCTCTCAAGTCGGGATTTGGGGATGATTGAGTGAAGTTAATTGAGACTCATTTACTTAGAATAAATAGGTACCATTTCTTGTCAAAAAGTAATAAACTGAAGCACTAGGAGTTGTTGTTTTTAACTAACAACCCATAAAGAGGGTGAGGAGTGATTCAAGGGAGCTTAATGAGGAATGTGGGAAAAAGTGGTGAAAAGAATATTCTGTTCAAGTAGCCATTCCAGCCATTTGTTCAGCCACTGCTCTTCAGAATGAGCGAAAAGGAAACATCTTGCAGTACTTACTGAGAACTCCACAGCCAATTGTTCTTTGCAATTGTTATAGGAATCCTAAGGTCTTATATATATATATATATATATATATATATATATATATATATGAAATGTTCATAAATGTACAAGGCAAACACATGTGCATAAGTATAGTGTCCGAAACAGTACAGGAGAGCAATCCTGAAGTCATTTTGACTCTCCCAACTGACCTCAAATATTTCTCTGCAAGGAGGAAGGAAATGGGGAAAGCTTTCCAGTTGTCTTTGGACTGTAGGGGCATTACACCTCCCTTTGCAAATACAGTCTGGCAAGTATCTGTTAAGCTGAGCAAACTATCAATTTATGTAAGAGATTTGGGAACTAAAGTATTTACCATCACAAAGGAATGGCCAGACTGCCCAGGTTGAGCAATGGTTGACCATTATCAGGTATCCTGACAGACAGGTTTTCTGCTGTAGACTGCCTCCCCCCATGTATGTATGATGTTTTGGGGGGTGGTCTTCAGCTACAGGGAAGGGAATTTCAAAAAGTCTATGTAAGACCTTGCACACCATTGTTCTGGGTTCCTCTCCTTCCACCCTGCGTGGGGGGAGTGGGGGACCCTGTTGCAACAGTTTAATAAAGATCATGCTTACTAGCTGCTTTGCTTCTCAGTATTCTCTGGTTGGCCTCTGTTATTTTCTCCTACCGATAGAGAACCTACTTAAGGACTCTATATGGGCTCTTAGATACCCCATATGGGAAAGGGAGCAGTATCTTTCTTATAACACAATGGTGCTGCAAGCCCCCGTCTTAATTAGTCTTATTGGTTTGCATAAACTCTCAGTTCCTCAGCTCTGAAGACTCTCTCTTTCGCTTCATTGGCTTTTAAGAGATTGGCACGAAAGAGCTTGCCTACTAATCTGCTCCTGCACACTATGTGGCCAATGTGTTGCCACAAGCAAGGGCTACCATAATAACCATGTTGATAATTAGAAAGTAGTGCACAGATGCTGGGATAGCTCAGTCGGTAGAGCATGAGACTCTTAATTTCAGGGTCGTGGGTTTGAGCTCCACATTGGGCAAAAGATTCCTGCATGGCAGGGGGTTGGACTAGATGAGCCTTGTGGTCTCTTCCAACTCTACAAGTCTATAATTCTATGCTTGAAACAAGGAGACATCATTATCTATGTCAGGAATGGGGAACCTTTTTACCCCAAGGATGACCTTCTCTTGTGGACAACTCTCTGGGGGGTCACAAGGCAGATGGGGCAAAGGACAAAACGTGTGTGGAGCCATGGATGTGAATCAAATGTTTGTGAAACAGACTAAACCCAGTTGTGTTAAATCAGAGATTTTTATACACATATCCCCCATCTAGGCAATCAAGATGCCATAGATTGTTTAAATAAAAAAATCCTTCCTGTAGCACCTTAAAGACCAACTAAGTTAGTTCTTGGTATAAGCTTTCGTGTGCATGCACACTTCTTCAGATACACGGATGCACTCAGATACACGGATGCACTCGTGTGCATGCACACGAAAGCTTATACCAAGAACTAACTTAGTTGGTCTTTAAGGTGCTACAGGAAGGATTTTTTTATTTTGACTATGGCAGACCAACACGGCTACCCATCTATAGATTGTTTAATTAGCCAAAGGCCTAGGAAAAGAGGAATGTGTTTGCCTGGCGCCTAAAGATATGCAATGAAGTTGCCAGGCAATGCCTCTCTGGGGAGAACATTCCACATGGGGCCACTGCAGATAAGGCCCATTCTTGTGTTGCCCTCTGGACCTCTCATGGAGGAGGCACACAAAGAAGGACCTCAGATGATGATTGCAGGGTCTGGGTCAGTTCACATGGGGACAGGCAATCCTTGAGGAATTGCAATCCTGAGCCATTTAAGGCTTTATAGGTCAAAGCCAGCAAACTGAATTGGGCCTGGAAACTAACTGGCAGCCGGTGAAGTCAGGACAGGATTGGTGTTATAGTCTCACCATCTTGTCCCTATAAGCAGCCTGGCTGCTGAACCAGCTGAAGTTTCTGAACTGCCTTCAGTAAATCTAACCTAGAGGTTACCAGTTATCCCCCTTCCTCATGGTGGATCCACTCCACATCTATTAATATATTTAATTTTATTAATACTATATAAGCATTAAATGGTATTAATAGTAAGAATCATAGTTAATCAATATAAATTAAAACACACATAGCATTTTATAAACAAGGATTTCCCACATCACATCTGTTTTGGCCTTCTGTCTCTGCTTCTTCAAGCTACTTCCTTCCTGATGCATTTGCCATTTGTGGCAAGATGAACCACCATAAAGCGCTATACAATCTGCGTAACTTGCCCTTAAATAATTTCCTGTTGATTAAAATGAGGACCCTGTAAAAGACACAATGGATTTCACCAAACTAATGAAAAGCAAACCTCCTCCAAAATGCATGAATATTTGATAAAATCTAAACTGCCCAAGTATGTTTTATGAGCTGAGAAAAATCTAAAGCATGTTTTGGAAAGGGGAGGGGGACTAACGTCACCCTTAGAGTGCAATGCAAAATTCTAAAACTGCCACCAACAAGCCAGTATTCATTATATTTTCTCCCTGAAATTTGGCCGAGCTTAATCCCTGATGAAGTAAATTCTCTATGGCAAAATTCTCTATGGCAAACTTCCGGACTTTATAACACTGGCACTAAAGAACCAAGTTACTACTCCCGCAGTTCTGCAATGAGGCTGATACTGAATCTGGCTCTCTATTTATAGCATTTTTACAGAGCTCTTTAGCTAAAAAGGCTCCCAGAGTGACTTACAAAGATCAACAGAAAGACAGTCCCTGCCAAAATCTTTTCATGTAACAAACTCAGGCTTCTACATAAGCATCTGCCTAGTAGCCACAAGCAAGGTACTGAATACAGGCTAGCACATGTAATTCCATGCAGGCAAGTGAGCAGGCTTGAAGAGGAGGCTGAACATGCAGTGATCTGCTAGAGGAGGGTCAGAGCTCTCCGTGCCTGCTTCATCAGCCCCCCACAGGCTAGTAAAGTTGTTTGCAGGCTAGTAATTTTTATGGCCCTGTTTACAAGGCTGAACTAATTCTATATAATCTCTGGTCAGAAGTTAAGTAGAGATTGTTCTGCCTCTGTTATACACCAAATTTGAATTAACTAGAGCATTAAGAATACTTATTTGACAGGGCATTATTATTTTTTAATTTTTACTATGGTCTTTAACTGGGTGATGCTTTTATAGCTACAAGTACTGGCACTGCTCTAAGGCTTTCTCTGGTAAGTCACACAATTCTGAAATTTTGAAGTAGCATTGGTATAAATATCAAGGTAATGAATAAAGGAAGCTCAGTGTCTGGAATCAACAAGCAGAGGACCAGTGATTATCTCAGTCTGTAGTTTCACTACTGAAAGCTACTGCTAAACATTGTCAGTTTCTACCAATGACAGCATCAGAAAGAACAAAGTTTTCATAAGACTATTGCCCCCTGCACTGGCCTGCAATCCAGAGAAATCAATTACGGACTAATTACTTCCTTGTTTTAATTAGTGTGCCTGCCGAAGGGCAGGGAGGACACCCTCATACTGATGTCTGAGCCTGACAACCGAGAGTGGGTGATCAAGGCCAGTAAAAGTGCATGTTGGCCGTGAAGCATAGATGCTGCACAATTAATTTAATAGGAAATCACATACCACTTTATTTTCCACTTTTATGTAACAAGGAGAACATGTTATATTGGGACAAACCAGCTGGAACAAGGAACGGGTAATTCCAAAGCGTATGGAAGTGAAACTGTGGAATTAAGTGGTGGTTCTGCCAAGTTTTGGGGGGGATGGAGGAGGGGTGGGATCAATATGCCCTCTGTGGAGTCCCCAGATCATCACTTGCTAAGTGGTGGTGGGAGGAGGAGACACACTGATCAGGCAAGCGGAGAAGAAGCAGACAAATGGGTCTCTTTTCTGTAGAGCTTATTCATTTACTTATTTTGGGTGTTTACTTCCCTTACTTTAAAAGTATCTCCGCATGGCTAATCATCAAATACAGGAAATGGATTTTTAAAAATCCATGAAAATATAACATCAGCCTAAAATTCCATGGTAGAGATAAAACAGGTTCAAACTGGCAATAAAATAGATGGAAAGACCTGACAGAATTAAAAGGTCTTTGCCCTGTGCTGAAAGGATATCAAACAAGGCATCAGGTAAGTGTCTCTGGAAAGGGCATTTCACTACTGAAAAAGCCTCTTCCTGATCATTATACATTATTGAAACATGCATATTAAGTTGTAATATACAAAAAAAGGGGGGGTTGGCTTAAAAATAGAAAGATAAATCAAGTAAACAAGCAAAGAAGTGAATGGAATCCAATTGATTTAAATATCTTTACCTCAGTGATTCGTGGGTTGGAGCATTTGACATTCCTGCTTGACCAGTCGAGCCACCTTCCCCATCCACCAATAGGAGAGGGGCAGTGCTGACGCAGAGTACACCTCCCTTCTCCAGTGCACCAGCCACACTCAAATTTCTGATCTGCTTTCAGGCACAACCCACAACTTTCCCGCTGGGCTGCACATTTGTACAGGTGAACTGTGGAGACAGAGATTGGGAGCATGAGCAGAGAGTGGGAGACAGCCCACACCTGAGAGATCAAATGAGATACACCTGCTCACATTGCTGGAAGGTGTGAACTGATGCTTGTACTGACCCAGATACAAATCTGCCCACCAGGTGAAATGGCCATCTTAGGCCTTTTACTGGGTACCCTCATCTGCCGTTTGATGGGTGACTACTGAAAATAGGGCCTTTTCTGTGGCTGTGCCCTGACTTTGCAACCCCTTTCCAAAGGAAACCTGCCTGGCCCTTTTGTAGGAATCATAAAGGCATCAAGCAAAGCCTGTCCTGTTTACTCACACTACTTTTTTTGTGGATGTGTGTTGGGTTACTCTGTCAACTGTTAATGATTAAACTGGTCCTTTTATTGTTGCCATTTATGCATAATGGCATGCTCTCTGATTTTATATGCTGTTTTATGTTTTTATTATATGGAAGTTTTTATGAGATTTTGTTAAACTAGTATGAATGCCAATGATGGAAGGAAACTGGAATAAATGAATGAATAAAGACTTGTCCAGATTATTCCAAACTGGAATAAATGAATGAATAAAGACTTGTCCAGATTGAATTATTCAGCTATCTTCAGGTATCTGGTCTGAGCATGAGAGGGCAGAGAGTTATGTATCATCCCAAACCCCCTTCACTGCTAACTTTACACAAAAGATTGGAAAAGGGCTTGTTTAGCTGAATGTGCTTAGAAGCCTTTCTGTGACCTGGAAACCTACATTTTCTGGATTCCCAGTTGTGAGGAGGCTTCTAATCATGTTCAGACCCTGAGGTGGGGCTGCCCAGTCCTCAACACACTTTTTGCTCTCGTGCATGCGGACTGAATACCTGAAGAGGAGTTGCATGGCTTGAATGTGTAGTTCAGACCAATGGAGACTTTCGGAACAGGACAGCCTGCATGTAAGGTGTGTTCATCAACATTTTGAGGCTTAGTAGTAGAGTTTTTCCATCCCTGTACTACAAAATGTAAATGTCTTTTCTGGGTACTAAAGTGCTTGGGGCTGGCAAAATGCAACCGAGCTACGAAACTGAAGCCATCTCTTTCAGCAGCTTATTTGGCTGGGTAGGCACTGAACCCTGGTCAAAGTGAAGGTAAGAGCTTACAACCAGCTGCTTTAGTCCCTGTCCATATCTCGATATATCTCTGGGTTCTCATAATAACAAAAAACAAAACAAAAACGAAATCCACATTTCCTACTCTTTAAACAAGGGCAGGAGTTAGGAACCTTTTTGTGTGTGTGTCAAGTACCACATTTTTTCAGGGGGTATCTGCCAGTAGTGGAAAGGGCCAGGACGAGTGGTGGATGGAAGTGAGACCAGAAGAGGACAGGGCACACCCTTCATTATATCTTTGTGCCCCCCTCCCATTTTCTTTCTGCTTGCCATCTTCTCAGAGCCACAGGCTACCCACCTCTACTTTAAACATAAAACAATTTTCAGAGGGGTAGATATTTCAGCCTGTTGCAGCAAAAACAGCTAAGAGACTTGTGGCACCTTAAAGACGAACAATTCATCACAGCATAAGTTTATAAACTTTTTTGGACTATGAATATATTAGTAGTTAATATGCCAGAATACTTGGGATTTTTTAAAATGTATGCATACACAATCCGTAAAAGGAAATAATTCATAGCACAGAAGTCATATGGCAGAAATGAGAGAATGTTTTGATAATAAAATTAAAGCTACTAGGTAAATTTGCTTTGTAAAAAGGAGTAGGTCCATTATCACCTACTTCTCCAAATATCTTAATCACTTTCACACTGTCCAAACTACAACTTCAGTGTGTGTGTGTGTGTGTGTGTGTGTGTGTGTGTTACGTCACTGTTGTTTCTATTTGCTGCTTTGGCATCATATTCTCTTGTTTGAGCAAGGGAGAATGAAGCATCCTGACTTTGAAAATGATCACCAGTGCAACTATTTTTGCCTAGGTAGACAGAACTAATTGTTCTATGCTTAAGAACAGTTTACGCTGATCCTTTACTGTTGGTTCCCCTGATACTTGGATATTCCAGCAGTAATTTAATACCAAACCAACTACTGGTAAAGTGTAAACCTAATAGTGATAGTGTGCCCAGATATAGAGGCAAACCACTAACATGAATGCAGCTTTGATACTTGCAATCTGAATTGAGGGATCAATCAAACTTTACTCATGACTCTGATTTTCAGGATTAGTAGGTTTTAGTTATGATACTAAACCTCTGTTTAAAGATGGGCATTCATATTATTGATTTTACTCTCTATCTCCCAATCTTTTACAAAACATTTTAATTTGGATATCCATGCTCCATATACAATATTCTGACGCAGCTGAAGAGTCTTTGGCTCCCCCCCCCGAACATTCAGAGCAATATCTTATATCTCAGATTGTTAAGGTTCGCTAGACTAAGGACATACAAACTGTGGATCAAGATCACTTTTGAAAAGATTGCTGAGTAAACTCCTCCTCCTTTTTGATTTAGTGGTTCCAGATACTAATATCTCCAGATATTAGTAAATAGTGCTAGCCAGCATGAAACTGAAAGCATAACTGAAGTACTTTGGGCAAGGTCAAGCAAGATTTGTACTTGCATACAAGAGTTTGGACAATGGGGACATATAAACCCTTCTCCTTCCTGTTGAACCTTTCTGCAGATGTTCTTAGATACTATTTCTTCCATGCTTGATTTGGACGACAGCCTTCAAAACCTCTTTGTTTAGTTTCCTCCACTGATTTCAACCAAGAAAGAATTCATTGAAAACAATGTCTCCATTCCCAGGGAGCCTGGCAAGACTCACAATATATCAGGTTCCACAGTAAACTTCAAAAGCATTTGAAAGCAAAATATAGCTCAGAGGGGAACAAATGGGAACCCATTTAATGGATGTCCTTGCTGCTGTAAAAACCAGATTCTTTAATGGGTATTCATTTCATGGACCAAGCCTGCTGTTTTCACAAGGCTTGTTTGGGTCATATAATAACTGACCCTGGCATCATGTGTATTTTTCTAGACACGTCACCTGTAGCAGCAGTTACCATTAAGCATCCTTCCTTCTTTAATGTGCAGAGTCAACCAACTAAGGCTGCCATCCTAGACCAATTTAGCTGACTCCTTTCAATCATCTTGAGTCACATATAATTATGTACTGAATGGGTCAATCCAATTGCTAACCCATGTTTGAAGTCTTAAAGTCTTTCAAATATGGATTGGTTCAGGATCTGAAGATGTGATGGGTCAATTATATCAAGTCTTCTTCTTTCCACAATGGGGATCTCATGCCTGAAATATTGTGTTTTGTGTGTGTGTGTGTGTCGTACCTTGGTTTTTGAACAGAATGCATTCCAGAAGTTTGTTCGACTTCCGAAACATTCAGAAACCATGGCACAGGAGCATCCTGCAGCCAATTGGAAGTCGCACTGGACATTCGGCTTCCAATGCAAAGTTCACAAACCGGAACTGCTATTTCCGGATTTGTGATGTTTGCGTTCCAAGTTGTTTGTGAATGAAACTGTTCGAAAACCAAGGTACAACTGTACCATAATCAAAAAAATCATGTCCTAATTGAAACTTATGTCAATTTTTTAAAAAAGGGGGGGCAAGTACTTTTCTTGTGAGTTCATCTGTCACTAGAAAGTGCTGTGAATCATTAGTTTGATTCATACCTTGGAGTTAGCACGTTGCTCCTTTGATCTTCCCTGGATCTTTTTGCTGCTGCACTGTGCTAAGCAATGTTTGGTTTGATTTAGCATGCCATCTGAACCAGGGCTTCATAACTGAAGCAGTAAACTTCCCCATGTCAGAAATCATGGTTTGACTATCAACTGAGCCCAAATAATCTGCAAAGTCTGGGCTTGGCTTGTAATAGATTTTCTGCCAGTTGGTTCTCCAACTGTTTTTGGACTACAACTCCCATTATCCCTAGCTAGCAGGACTTGTGGTCAGGGATGATGGGAATTGTAGTCCAAAAACAGCTGGAGACCTAAGTTTGGGAAACCCTGGACTAGGACACTCTTTCCCTCCAGAGTACACAGGAGTTGTAGTTCCCAATGCCTTCCAGTTGATAAATTCTGAAGGCATTATAAACCAAATCTCCTATGAATAGATTCCTGCAAAACGTGGACATTATGAGCAGTGATACCTTCTTCTAACAACCCTCAACGCTTCAGAAAACAGCAACTATTTGTCTCCAGCCTGACACCTTTATAATGTCAACATTAAGCAGAAGGGATTCTATGAGAGTTAGAATCAGAGCCATAGGAGGTTAAGGATGTCACACCTCAAGTGAGTCATAAAGGCTGGCAAATCTCATTTAACCCAACAGGTAGGTCATAAATAGTGCATACAGGGCAATAGATGGCAACATGGTATTGCAAAAAACAAGCATACAATCTTGTAAGCCTATTACCCTCAGACCTCTCCAACACTGATTGTAAAGCCTTATAACCCGCTTACATCCAGATGTCTCGAGGATTGAGCTTAGAGCTCAACTTATGTTCTATGGCAGGCTGAGAGATTCATTTTTTTCAGACTGTTAATGCCAGATTCACGCCTCCCCCTCCTCCAAGCCTTTAAGAAGAAATAATGTAAAAGGAATCTTAAGGCAGCTGCACATTTCCATCTCAGTTATGTTTATGCCAGTTTGGGCTTAAATGATAATCCTGATACCCTTCATAATCAAGTTCCTCCTTGTTCCCTGAAAGCAGCCGGAGAGGCCCTGCCTTGCACTTAGGACATGGAATAGATTTTCCTTGGTTACTCTCAGACAACCTGCTTATTGAGCATTCATTCTGATTTGCACAGTTTGCAGGAAGGCTAGACGACATTGCAACAAGCAAGGGTTATTCCATACTTTCCAGTGCACTTTCCATTTTTTCTGGTGTGTGGGGAGGTCAATTTGTTCTGCAAGAGCATCAAATCATTTTTAATTGGGCAACCTCCAACAGCAGGTATGTGATTGACTCCCACCTGAAAATAGCGACCATGTGGAACATGGGAAATTCATAGGATGACTTGCCTATTGTCACTGGGGCAGTAACAAAAGCCTTTTTGTTTTTTGGAATTCTAACAGTATGGATAACATTTGCAGTATGGGCCTTGGAGGCTTTATGTATTTTTGGTGTTTTTTTAATATTTGTAGTTTAGGGTGTAATATCGTATACAGCTTTGAACAGCAGAAAATTGTTTCCTATAAATTATCTGAAATATATATTTACATAAAGTCTGTGTAGTTCTTAATCTATTTTCCCTCTCACCACTGAAATGTGGCACACACTCATCCCATTTGGATTGTTTCAAGCAATGACATAAAAATTTCCCGCAGCAAATTTACAGTCATCCTTGGAGAGGTCTAAGGATAAGAGAATTATAATGCTTATATATATATCTATATATCTATATATCTATATCTATATATAGAGATATATATAGATATAGATATAGATATAGATAGATATAGATATATCTAGATATATAGATAGATATAGATATAGATATAGATAGATATGATCTTGCACACCCACCCCCTTTGTCAAGAGTCTGGTCTTCCAGAATTTAAGAAATGACAAATATAACCATATTGCTCTAGCGAAACAGGATTTATTTTAAAGCATCAAATGATCTGAATTGGATGAAAATAAAATTTCAAAAATTCCCACAATACATATTAATGAAAATGAAAATATATCAAAATAAACTAAGAATATATTATTTACCTTTCAAATCCTCTGGGTTGTCAATAATGAAGTTTCCATTCCAAACCACAGCAAAATCTACTGCTAAGTTACTTATGTCCATTCCATCATAGAGATACTAAGGAACAAAGAAATGAAATACATATATGAAGGCTTTGTGTGAAAATAAAAGGAAGAGCCATTAGAATGGACAAATATTGTTTAGAGATTTTTGACAATACATGACTTAGGAATGGGTGGCAGGAGTTGAATTGCAACATATATTTCCATTATCTGCATGGAGAGACACTTCTGCTTGCCATAGAGGCATAATTAAATCAGCTGATGGGCCCAGAGAGAGGTAATAGATTAATTATCCAATTCATGCAGACTGTTCTCACCACTCAGCCCTTGGTTTGCCAATAAAGCCCCATCACCAAGAATTAATGAAATGAAAAAGAGAATCCTACACTCCTTTAGGAGGCCACATTAGGCTCTACTATATGCAAACATGCCAGAGTATTTTATGGAACTTACTTGGAAAATATATTCTAATTGGCATTGGCATAGCGATGCTTTAGGCAGTACAAAGGAAAATACATATGACCATAGTTTTAGGGAAAGTTTTCATCCAAAGGTCAGTGGCTCAAAGCTTGTTGGGTTGATAAGAACTGCAGTCTTCTCTCTTCTTCAACTACCACCACCATATATACTGTTAGATAATCACGCAAATGCTTGTTATCACCAGATCTGCTTCAAAACATCACCGCTTTCACCTTTCACCCTTAAAAACTCTCTATTCTAAACTCTGAAAACCAATCTTTCCATCTTTCTGCACCAAAAAGCAAATTTGGGCTGAATTTCAACCCATCACCACAGTTTACAACAATACTAATAGCAAACTCATTTTCTGAGTGCTGATCCTTATGTATTTAAGTGGCACTATCCATGAAGTAGAGGAAGGTTATCAGCAGGCTCAGGAAAATCCTGAGGTTGGCAGAAGAAAAGAATGAAAAACTTTGGGGGGAAACCTTAAGGTGTCACAAAAACAAAACAAAACAGCCCAAGGAAAACCAACCATGCTCAGAATCCATAAAATGCTGAGTGGCTGTTGGAGGAGGTAGGAAGGAAACCTGATGAGGGGAGGATTGCAATGGAGCATCATAAAAGACGGGATGGCTAGCTGGCTGGAGCTCCGGCCAAGAGCATTCCATGCTGCAAAATTTGTTGTGCAGGGTTGCCGTATTTCAAAAAGTGAAAATCTGAACACAAACATTGTTGAGCTTTATTTTTTTTTTTAATTTTTGAGCTATTTTTAAAGGGAAAATGACACTGCTGACATGGGTTGGCAGACATCAAGATTTCCCCGGACATTTCCCCAATTTCTGCCCAGACAATGCTTTTGACTGCAGTATTTGTGTTATGTCTGGGAAACTCCAGACATATGGCAACCCTATAGTGTTGCGGCCCCCATTTTTCAAGAAAAGTAATGGCTTTCAAGAGCTGGAATTCTCATGCCTAACCGATAGAGGACTAGGATCGGGGCTGTCCAATGCCTCTACGGGTTGCCTGTGTGGAAGAACAAAATCTATAATTCAGCTAGCCTGTCCTTCCCTTCCCCTTTCAAAAAAAGTCTATGCCTCAAATTATGTTTTTCAATGAGAAGGTTAGGCTCATTATCTAGAAAAAGCTGTGCATTTTGTAATATGTTCACAATGAAGCAAGTGTCTCTTTGATTTTACAGACACGGTACTTTTGAACTGCACAGTTAGGGCCAAAAATGCCACAGGGAAAAGGAGCCCCAGGCCAGGAAAAAGCAGCAGTACCATCCATGGCAGAAGTCAAAAAGTATGAACAGTAAGCGTGTAAGTAGACTTTTCCTCCCCTCTCCTGTTCTTTGTGATTCCCAGAGAGCACTACAAGAGTCCAGCACACAGATCTGACTGCCTCTGCAATTAAAGTGGCATTCTAAGCCACTTTAAGCAGGCAAGTGAGACACAGCCATCCAGCTTGCTACTGTAGGTGCCACAAAGCCTACTCCCTTTTAACTCGAGGGAGTAGTAGTTCTGTACAATTTCACAGCACAGGTACCAACTACTGGCTGCAGTGTAAAAGATGTGAGCCTGCTCATCCCATGTAATGTTCTATAAGCGTTCAGTTTCCTTACCTGAAAGTAATATAGGAAATACATAGCATTTGTAGAAATCATATATGTGAGTGGGATTTGAGCACTTACAACAATATAAAGGAACCAGCTGGATTAGTCCCACGTTTGTTTGTCTGTTTGTTTGCTTTTGAAGCCTGCAAAGTTGTTTTTCTGTGCCACAGTGACGGCAGTTTTTACGGGGCTTGGGAATGCAATAAAGGCTAATTGCCCTGACTGGTGTGATTGATTCCAACATTATTCTTGTCAGCTTGGACACTCCTGTGGGACAAAGAACTCCCGTTTCGCAGCAAGAAGCATTGCAGCCACCTCCTTGACTATGCTTATTTAAGGGAGGCTGTTTTATCTTCCTTCCCTCTCCTCATCCCAGTTCCTTCTTTCTCTTCTCCCAGCAACAGGCAGCTTTCCAGTATTACACATTCTATCAAGCTACTGCAGCTTGGAATTTGACAGCTCCCTGATAAGAGGCCTGCAATTCTCTTTATCTCTCCTGTGTGAATTAGCTTTGCCTTAACACCTTTGTCACATCCCCGCCCCAGCTCCCCCTTTCCTGACCCCCCACAGTCACAGACGGGGAAGCTGACAGATAAAAGATCTTCTCTGGGGCCAGGATTCTAATTAAACACCTCACTTGCCTGTAGCACATTCCCGTCTGGAATTCAGGATTAGCTTAACCCCTGGTTCTTTTGTTTCATCTCCCAGAATAATGCTTCCCAATGCCTTTTATTCTACCATCTACATTTTCCTCATTTGTAGCTTTGCCTCATTTGTAGCTTTGCCTTCTAGGGTGGCAGCCTCTTCAGTACCTTGAACATGAGTAAACATATGTGAGCAAGATATTCCTGCAGTTATCAAGCACCATAAAAGAAATTTCTCATTTCCAAAAGAGATTCTAAGTGTGCTCTATTCAAAGGGATTGGACAGAAAGGCTAGCATTGTGCTGTGTAACAGCCTGCTGTGGCATTAAGGAATGGGCAGTCATGATGAATGGATGCAAGCGGTAAATGCTCCATGCATGGTGCTTTGTATAAGCACTCCCGGGAGATCTCTTAGTTTCTAAATATTTGTCTAATTGTCAGGCAAAAAAAGAAAGAAAAGAAAATTCCTTCCAAATAACAGGTTTTTTACTATTACAGCAGACCTAGCTACAAAACCTGAACTATATCTGTACCCCAGACCCTTTCAAGAGGGCAGTGGGAAGGATGCAAAAGTCTTGGGGGCAAGTTTCCCTAGTGAATGAATATAATAATATAATAATAATTTATTATTTATACCCCGCCCATCTGGCTGGGCTTCCCCAGTCACTCTGGGCGGCTTCCAACAAAATATTAAAATACAGTAATGCATTAAACATTAACAGCACTATTCTGAGGTAATCTATGAAGTTTCTTCATATAGTTTATTGATTGTTGAAATAATGTTGAAACTGAGGACACAGCCTCTGTATATACATATATGTTTTACAATGTATCAGTGTCAGATTTATCAACATATAAATTCAGAATAACCTGGTGACAGGAATGCCAGCTTGGCCCCACTACCGTGGGTGCCTGGGGCGATGGATGCCATGCAGTGTGCATGTCCCTGGCACCAAAATTTGTGGGTGCTCAGCCCCTTCATGGGAAATTTTGTGGGTGCTCGGGCACCCAGAGCCCCAGGGAGTTGGCACCTATGCCTAGTGTGCGGAAGCCGCTCAGCAAGCTACAGGGATCATGAGTTAAACAGCCAAGTGATGGGATGCTAAGTATCACTCATTTATTCAATTAAAGCAACTCAGACTAATAAGATCACTGAAGGGTCACTGTGTGCTAGAAGCCAAATCCTGTAATACCATATAACTCAGGAGCTAAACGCTATGGTAGGAAGCCTGTAGAAACCTAGTTTTCAGTGCTCCCCTAGCAGAGGGAGACTTTTTAGTTCTCCCAGGCAATTGGGAATTAGTTGGACATCTTTGCTGCTGCTTTTATGTTGTTTTAAACTACTACCTTCTACTCTTTTGATTTTATATTCTACTTCCCATCTTAAAAAAAATTCTGTAAAGCCACTTTGTACTGTTGTTTTTTTTTGAAAGGGAGGCTAGAAATATTGCAAATAAATAAATCCCCATCTCCTTTTATGCACAACCTTTTCTATTCCATCTATTCCTTTTTTATTATTCCTCATCTCCCAATCAACTTACAGAACTATTCTGGCACTGGACACTTGAACTGTTGAAGCGCAGAGCAGGCACCCGATAGACTACCCCTTGGATGTTGAGGACACACTCATAGCCACGCTGGCCAGACTGAGGCTGAGGTAAATTTCTAGCCTTCAGGGTGATGGGCTTCACTTCACCAACAGGGATCAAAATCTCTTCTGTACGGAACAGCTGTGGGCAATCCTGGAAAACATATTTGAAAACAGCAATGTATTAGGCAACTGCGGGCACATGGTACTCTGAATACAGTTGTTTCCTGAAGACACACGTGGACTCTGGGGAATTGCATATCAATAATGTAAATGCAGATACAATTATGGTTTGGCTATTTCCCAGAAATCTGTTGTAGATACAAAACATAAATAAGGGATGAGGAACCTCAGGTGGAGGGGACAAACGTGGCTTTCTCTAGGCCACTCCCTCACCAGCCTTGCTTTACACCCTTCTTTTTTCGCCTGGTTGGAACATAGCTTGAATGTCTTGCTGGCCTAGATGGGTGATACAGGGAGATGTGTGAGTTTGAAGAAACCAGCCTACTATACAATGGTAGAATTCACTTTTGTTGTTCTGCCTATTTTCACCTCCAGCCCCACTCACCATGGACATTGAATCCTGGAAGGTTTCCCAGAAAGAAATGCAGCCTTTGAGCTGAAAAATGATTGCAACAAGGGTTAAGCTTAAAACTTTGACTTTAAATTCAAGGATTCTGAGGGGAGGTGGTGGGAGGGAAGACAGTTCACAAAAATTTTTTTTACTGCCGTGTCTTTTGTGGTCTTAACAGTACAGGCAAAGGCCTGTCCAGTAGACCACAGAGACAGTGATAGCAGGAAGCATGGACTTTATTCTGATCCCAAAATATCTTCATCTAGTCATTTGCTAGTCATCTAGTCTTTTCAGGGCCTGCAGGGGTAAAATGGCAGCTATCGGGACTCTTGGTATCACCACTGCAGCCAGTGATAAATTCACTTCACCCTCTTTCATGCCACTCTCCTAGCCACGCCATGACCAAAATCCTGCTCCCAATAGTGTAGCATACAAAGGCATCGGGAGAGGCATTTTGGCTCAGCTGTAATTGTAACTGGAGCAGGTGGAAGAATTACATTAAAAAAACAAAAAACTCAGGAGAGATAGAAGGCATTTTTTAAAATGAAAACATCCATTTCAGCTAAAAACTTTGGATTATTTTCATACTTTTCCTTTGTAATATTTTTGCCAGCCTTTGCTTTCTAGCAACTGAAATGTAAAGGAAACCCAGGGTTCTTTTGTTCGGTAAAATCAAATATCTAAATAAAGTTAATAGCCACAGTTTCTCAGGTACTTAGAATGAAGGGTATTCATTTTGAAATGCACAAAAAGGAAATAACTAAATCTTGCTGGGAACAGGGTTCCTCTAGCTGAGACAAATCTTTGACTTGATCCAGAAGGGCTCTTACATTTTTACCTATATGACAGCAGCAGGGAATCTTTGATCAGCCGAAAGGCCACAATCCCTCATAGGTAACCTTCTGGCGCTCTCGTCCCAGTAGTGGACAAGGCCAGGGGCAAAAAGCAGACACAGCAATGGGTGTGGCTCCTACTTTGTATAGTCAGCCACAGTCTAGCTATGAAAAAAACAAAGGTTATACACGCAAACAGACAACCATGTATGAATCTTTCTTCCAGAAAAGCAAGAGGTGTTCAAAGACACATTCCAACTAAGTTAAGAGCACTCGAGGAGGGCATGGATGAGGGTTGGTGAAGGTCTTAGGAGATTCCTGAGGGCATTTAGTACAGCATCCTGTTTTAAACAGAGGTCAGCTAGATGTTTTTGAGAAACCTGTAACAAGGTAACAAGCTCTGTCCCCTCATAAAACTCATATTCAGGAATATCACTTTTTTCCTTGTGAAGAACAAATTTCTCTATAGCAACCACCCACATCTATCCTTTTTTTAATGGTCCTGTGAATTTAAGCCCAAACTCTTCTGGGGCAATCTCTCTTGATGCCCTAGAACAACTTCTTATTAAGCACGGGAATAAACAAACCAGCCTGTCAACACAGAAAACATCTCTGATTTAGACAGACAACTTATCAATCAGATAGCTAGGAAGGAATACAGCTCCTGGAAGATGATTTAGTGAATAAAATTTATGAGCAACAGACAAGTCAAAACTCCCCATTTGCTTTCTCAACCAAATTGGAGCTGCTCTAAAAATTACTGCCCCTTGAAAAGAAATCAGGAAAACAGTTTCAAAGGGTCTTTTTCAAATAAGGATTTTTTCTATTTAGGGCTTAAACAAGTAGGGCTTTTCAAACTGACAAATATAAACTTTTGACAAATATGTTGGCTTAGTATATTAATCTGCTTTGAGAACTTCCTTTTTGATTTGTAATAATTTGTTTCATTTGTCTGGCTTCACAAACAAGAAAGCTAAAATATATAATTCATAGCACTCACAACTTTCAAAATAAATCACTCATCCAGTTACATACTGTGCCCTGAAGCATGATTTGTTAACAGCAAATGACAACACTTATATTTGCTAATTATGAAATGGAAAATTTGGGCTTCCAACATAACCATTTATGTAATACTCTGTTTCCTGGTGTCACAATCTTTTTCCATTAAGAAACTTTTTTTTTTTAATAAATTAAACATTAAGGAGTTTGAGCTCAACCACAGAGAAGGAGAGAAATCTCTCCACTCACATTTTGCATGGCTTGTAAAAAAAGGGGTCACAAGACACTGGAAACAGCATAAGTGTGTTTCTTCTTCCTGTGCTGTCCATGTCTCACCTTGACTCTGTCCTCTTTTGGCCATTCCACTGATGAATTTTCACTACTGCCATTGTGTGTCTGCACTAGCTCCATACTTTAAAGCGATAAAATATCAAACATTAAAAACTTCCCTAAACAGGGCTGCCTTCAGATGTCTTCTAAAAGTCAGACATCTAAAAGCCTTGACATCTGATGGGAGGGCATTCCACAGAGCAGGTGCCACCATTGATAAGGTCCTCTGCCTGGTTCCCTGAAGCGTCACTTCTCACAGTGAGGGAACCGCTAGAAGGCCCTTGGAGCTGGACCTCAGTGTCCGGGCTGAACGATGGGGGTGGAGATGCTTCTTCATATATATTTTGCATAAATAAGGTCCCAGGCTCAATTCCCAGCATCTCCAGGTAGGGCTGGAAACATCTACTGCCTGAAATCCCAGAAAGCTGAGGGGAGGTCAATGCAGCTAATATTGAACTATATGGAGCAGTGGCTGATTCAGTATAAAGCACGTGTCTGTGTTCTCGTGACCTCATTTACTAAAGATTCAAACTTTTTGACTAGCTCAGGTGTGGATAAACGGGAAACAGATGCTTTCCTCTTTGGGAAAGCCAGAAGCTTTGTCCTGCTGCTTCATAAACTTTTTATTGGACCTCTGGTATATATTTTATTTTGTTTTTTCAAGAGGGATTTTGGGCAGATTAGTAGTAAGAAATAATTTTCAAATCCAGTTGGGGGGAAAACCACGTTGTCGCCAGGGGGGAAATGACCTTACTTTCAAGGCAGTGACTTTATGAACTGAAAGAAAATGTTTATGACTCAAAGCATCTATGCTGAGTTCCCTCAGCCATGCTTCTGAAACAGCTCATCTTACACAGGTGGAGAAGTACGACCCAGATCTACCATTTACCTTTCCTAGGGTACTGCTGAAATCATGCTCACTGCTCACCATTACAAATAGAGATATTCTTAAGGAAGTCAAAGGATTAAAATAATTTTAGATATATGTAAACTAAGCATCAGTTGACACAATCAAGTTATTTGTGGATTTTTATCAGTGTTAGGGTGCACCCTCTCTTGGAGGCTTTCTCCTCATTTCACAAATATTCAGTGCCTCTAATCTGTCACTAGGTGTCACTATAATGTTGTTTGCACAGCTAACAGAACCAAAGCAGCATCTAGTAAGTAAACATTAACTCATGCAGCAGACTAAGAGACGCTCTGTAAATATAGCCCTTATTTTATATCTTAAGGAAAATAGTTTCATGGGGCTTCTTGGTACCCATTTTATACAAATCAGTAACCATGGCAGGGAACACATGCAAAGGAATTTTCAATGTACGTGATCAAACCTCACATGTGATACTGATGACAGTAACATATATACAACCATTTGCTTTTAAAAAAATTATTTTGGTTGCAACACTTTAATAATGTCGAAAGCAGACAGAAGCTATGTGACTTACATTAGTGGATGGCATGGTGGGGGAGCACTGCTCTTCTGATCCCTGGTTGGTTATGTTACTGCCGTTTACTGGGAGGCATATGGAAAGGGTTATGAAGTCATGGTGCAAACACACCAGCAGGAGCACCAGATTAGCTCCTGTGGTGCATTTGCACCATGCTGACTATCCTACCCTATCCTAACTGACTGGAGTTCAGATGAGCAGCAACACCTGACCCCGCTGTCCATTACTTGTGACAAAATTCACATCCTAGCTATCAATCTTACTTCCCCAGTTATCCTGTCAACTGCAAAGTTCCATCCTAGCTGCACATACAATAGAGGGAGTCACTCTTGGTGGTAATGTCTGTATGAGCCTCATAACCAACCACCACTTTTGAAGATAGGCCCAGGCTCTCCTTGTATTACATGCCTGACGATGACCACGTCCGAATTCTCCACCTCCTGGGCCCAGATTGCAATTTTGTCTCACTTGGTTGGTGACTGCTCCACAGTCGTCTTCACTGTAGACAGTGGAAGCATTTTAAGAACATGACAATGTGATATTGTGACACGGTGACCAAAGACACTGTGGTGTGGCTGTCAATGTTGCTGTATTCTCTAGTTTCCAGTGACACTGTTGTCTTTTCTGCTTTGTTGATAAGAGTTCAAATTATAATTGTACTACAAAAGCAGGACCTATATACCAGAAAAGTGGAACCATGAGGGATTCTTGAAATTGACACATTTCAAAATAAAAATAAAAAATGCTATCCGAAAGACTGCAGATGAAGACAAAGGAAAGATAGAAACAGACTTCAGTACTAATCGGCTATCATGCACTTTTGTTGGTGGTGCTAGTCTACTGCCAGCATTGATTTTATTTCATTCATTTTGTTTTTAAGACTGCGGTCCTCAAAACATCATGAGATGAGATAGGCACCAAAATTACAAGTGTATAATTATGGTCTTTTCAAGATTCAAAACATGAC